GGAAAATGCAAGGATCAAGTGAGTGCTGCACCCAGTGTAGTTGAATCATGGTGTCATGAACACGCAGAAACCATTGTCTGGGAGCGTTGGCTTGACCGTATACTGGAGCATGTAGTTGATACAGCTGACCAGGATTTTGAGACTATTCCGGAACGGCTTCACGGGCGACGCCGTCTTGAGGAGCTTTCATAAAGATCTTTTGAAGTCTCTCCTCGTCTGGTTTGCCTTGCAAAAGGCTGACTTGCAGTCAGCGTTCCATATATCCAGATTCAAGCTGCATGCCCATTGCAAAATACACATCAAGCCAATGCGCCTCAATACAGGTGCATCACGAGCTAAAAGAGGAAGGTGAGGATCGCGAAACCCTTGGATCACGATTCTGGCTTTGGCACAACAAGATGCACCTCCATCGAGAGGCTTCCATCTGTAGCACACTCGCGAAGGCAAAATGAGCTCTTTGGGTATGGCGTTGACATCGCCATCAAACTTCTCACAAGAAGACCATTTGCACCACTCAGCCCATTCTTTCTGCATCGCCTCAACGAAGGCTGGCCAATCTGCCTCACCTATTGATTTCCAGGGGAGTTCTCTTTTCAAAGCTTGCCTTTTTGTTCTTTTCAAACCAGCATCTTCTTCGTCTGAAGTATCCGGCAAAGTGCGGAAGGTCTGGCTGTCATTCACAAAGGCCTCATAGCTGGTTAGGACATAGTCTGGAGAGGACAACCAAACTGATCGTTGTTCTGCTAACTGCTCTTCCCACTCAGCCAGGTTGCACGCAGCACTGAAATGACATGGTGTGCCGGCAAATTGCCAGGCCACGTCAATGTCTCAGATTTTGAGAGCAGACAGGTCGGTATGCACAGATATTAGACTGATGGTACAAGACCGTTGGATTAAGGGCCTTGATGCAGCTTTGACTGACCATGATGTTACATTTCATTTACTTACTTCCATTGCCTCTGCTTTCTGTCAGCGCCTATGCCCCAGTCCGCAACCGAGACTGGCAATCTGGAAAGGATGAATTCAACCCCACGCGTTTCAACACAAAACCGGAAAGATGAAGCGAAGTCCAAGAGCAATCAGCAGGGATCCAGTGCAGCACCTAGAGGAGCAAAAGGAGCAGTTGGGCGCGACAACCGTGGGCGTGCAATCTGTGTTTACTTACAACCTATCGGAATGTGGAGAAGGGCCTGCAGGTGGTGCATGCAGGAAAGGACGCCATGTTTGTTTCAAAGCCAACTGCTTCAAGCTGCACAGTTTTCTGGCCAAAAAGATGAGATGCCCAAGACAGGACTGACTTGGAGCTGCGTTGGAAAGTTTCACAGTGCATGATACAATAACTCTTGAAATTTTTGCCGGACAGGGGGTGTGACAGCTTGCTTTAAAAGACATGGCTTCTCAAACTCTGTAGCTGCAGACAAGGTCAAAACTGCTGGTGCGTTGACAAGCATAATTCCTTTCTGATCTCACAAGAGACGAGGGTCAGAGAAGCAGTTTTACAATGGAAGTGCGACCCGAAACATTAACATACCGGGGGGGATCCCCCAAAGCCCTTACGCCTTACGCAGTTTTGAGGAACCAGATGGCATTGCAGGATTGACTGGTTTGGATTTGAAGCCTGTTGGAGCGGCTAACATTTTGTATGCCTTTTGTGCAGAAGTGTTGGAGCTTTGCTGCAAGTTGAATAAATTATTTATGCTGGAGAATCCACGCAATTCTTTATTTTGGCTGACCACTGCTTGGAGGGAGTCCTGTTGTGCCCACAGCTTGTATTTATCTGAACACCGGCATGTGGTCATGGTCGTAAGCGTCCTAAATGGACACGTTTGGCAGCCAATTTTCAGCAGGTTGAAATATTGCGGTTTGCCCCAACAATCATCAGCATGAATCTCGGGGTTTGGTGAAAACTGGAGCTTCAAAACGCGTTTTCGCGACTTCCCTGGAAGTACACTATCCCAAGCTCTTTTGTGAAGCTATTGTGCATGCGTTTGTTCTTAAGCTACAGAGATGGGCCTACAGTTTGTGGATGCCACCAAGGTTCAACATGCGGCTAGAGCTGCCACGCTGGAACAGTCCAAGTCAGGACGTGAAGCAGCTGGCACAGTCTGAGATGAGGAAAAGGATGGAAGTTGAGCTTGCAGTTTGGGGATAAAACTTGCGTTGGAGGAATTTTCGGCTTTGAATTTATTTGGAACAAAGTCAAGATGTTTGGAGTGCAGTGGCAGCCTTGTGAATTTCTTGAAAAGTCGTGCAAAGCGCAACATCCGTTGAACTGCCTTGTCCTTGCTCACAGTTCTTGCTGATGCCATTGAGTTTCATGCGAGGCAAGGTTTGCATGAAGTTGCCAAGAAAAGGGTTGAATTTTTCATGTTATGGAATGCAAAAGTTGAACCCTGCGTTGCCTTGCCCACAGTTCTTGCTGATGCCATTGAGTTTCATGCGAGGCAATGAAGTTGCCAAGAAAAGGGTTGTTTTTTCATGTTATGCAATGCAAAAGTTCAGAGTTTGAAGGACACAGAATACGAGTTGCGCAAAAGCATGGACGCGACAGTTGAGGCGGCGGTCAGAGGGGAACGAATTGTGTGCTTTTTGAGGAGATGTTGAAACACCATGGCTACCCAGACTTGGGTGTGGTTGAGGAGCTGAAGCATGGAGCAGCACTCACTGACTCACGGGTGAAGTTCCCCAGACTGACATGTTGCCTTTCATTCACTCCTGCTAGGCGATCTCGTCGTGTAGTGGTATAATGCCCGTCTCAGGACCGTGCGTAGACAGCTAGCCGCGGATCGATTCCCCCCGGGTACGGGGCCGCGATCGTGACGTGGTAGACGGGTAAGTCTCAAGTGCTGCGACCCGCCGAAAGGCACAGGGCGCCGGTCAAAAAAAAAACCTTTCATTCACTCCTGCTCTTCTGACAAGACTCCGAAGTCTGGCGGCAGACTCTTGAAGAGAGGGACCGTGGCTGGTTAAGAGGCCCTTTGTCTTTGTGCGAAGTACCTGGGGAGGCGCCCATATCCAGAAGGTTCGGCCTTAGACAAGAACATAAAATAAGGTTAATAGACGACTTCTCTGAGTCTTCAGTAAACAGCACAGTCGCGAGTTTATGAGTTGCAAGTCCTTCATACGGTGGACGTTGCCTGTGCCGCAATCATGCATAGGTTCTCTTGCTTCAAAGTCGCTGGAATAGGTCCCACGCTGGTAGCCAGGACTTTTGATCTCTCCAGTGTATACAGACAAGCAGGCTTGAATGAGACAGGAGGGAGTGTTGGCTTCATTAGGGTATACAACCCAGAGCACAAATGTTGGAGCGTCTTGCAAGCGCTTGTCCTACTGTTGGAGCGGTGAAAAGTGTCCACTCGTTTCTACGGCTTGGAAGAGCCATTTGGTGGATAGGAGTTGTAGGCTGTCAGCTATTCTGGTCCTCTTTCTTCGAGTATTACATCGTTTTTAGCCCTCCAGCGCTTTCCAAGAGCTCAGAGTTAATTGCCTTTGCTCTCTTCAAACTACTTGGTTGGATTTTTGCAGAGGATGGCAGAAAGTGCAAGCCTTTCAGCAGCAGTTGTGAAGCCTTAGGTGTGATCTTTGATTTGTCAGAGTCCAACAACTACATATGCAAAGTTTCTAACACCGCGTCCCGCATTGAAGAAATCTCCACTGAAATCCAGAAGCTTTTGAATGCAGGTTCAATCACGCAGGTGGATGCCCAGAAGTAGAGAGGGCGTATGCAGTTTGCTGAATCGCAGATTTACGGCCGAACTGGAAAGTGTTGCATTGCTTGGTTGAAGGATTTCTCTTGTCGAAGGAGATCAAAGATAGCTGACCGAGATGGAGTGTATTTGAAACTATTCTTGAGTCTTTTGAAATCTGAGGAACCAAGGGTTGTGTTTTTGCAGCAATCTTCTTCTGTGGTGATGATCGCCGATGCATGTTACGAGCGTGATGCCCGTGACTGGGTTTGCGGCTTGGGAGGAGTGCTAGTGGATCAATTGGACGATGTGAAATTGTTTTTCTCTTGCCAATTGACTGAACAACAGCGTGTGCCCTTAGGAGAACTTAGAAAAAAACAGATCATCTTCGAAGCAGGAACTTTGTGCGCTTTTCTTGCGTACTGCTTATGCATGGAGTTGTTTTGTGGCAGAATGTCCTTTCTGTACGTGGACAATGAAGGTACAAAATTCAGCCTTATGAAAGGTTCCTCAGAAAATTTGACAGTTGATGCAATGACACAAGTCTTTGTGGAGGTAGAGACGCATGTGAAAACAATTTGTTGGTTAAGCTCCTGCAGCAAAATTGCGGATGAGCCTTCGAGAGGAGATTGCCGAGTTTTGAATGAAATGAATTTTACACATGTATCCAAAGATGCCACAAATTGTCGGAAGTCTCTTTGCATGTCCATTGGTGAAAAGAGGGGGAAGATGGCTGGACATGCATTGCCCATTCTGGAAAAATAAGAGTGTCAGCCTGTCCTTATGGGCGTCGGATGTGAATAATTAGCAGTCACTTGTGACTATTGATTATTCACGGTGTGAATTGTGTGAACAATTCAAGCGAATGGTATTCTTGGCTTAAGGGCGGGAGGGTGGGCCCGCTTTAGATTTGACTTTGCAGCACCACCAACCCCTGGCACCTCCATTCCTTTGCAGTGCACAATTCTGGATACTTGCAATCAATGTCTTCTTTGCCAGAAAACTCATGCCGTGCCCGCAGCCAAGATGGGTGGACATGCATTGCCCATTCTGGAAAGATAAGAGTGTCAACCTGCCTTTTAAACTGTCGGATGTGAATAGCTTGAGAGTTCTTTTGTGTTGCAGTGTGATGTTGATTTCAAGTCGTTTTTTAAATTGCAATTTGTATCAAAACAATTGTCCCAAATTTTGTTGGTTCTGGTCTTGCATGGGTTTTGGCGTTGTTGTTTTTGTGTTTTTTCAACGTTTGAAATTTCACATGCAAGACTAATATTCCGCGCCGCAGCTTGTATATGTTTCGCCCAATGTTCCTGGCACGGTGGCACAGTGGTCAATATATATATATGCGGGGAAAGGACGTCCAAGACAACACAGCTTTAAACACCACGGAAATTTGTGACGGTGCAATTTTCCTGGATGGCCTTGTTTGTCCGCACCTCAGTGAAAATTTCGGCGAATGTGGCGGATTCAACAATGTCGCTTGGGAAACAGTTCGAAAACATTGTTGACCAACCAAAAAATGTGTGAATTGTGCACGCGCATGTGCTAACGGTTGCCAAGGACAGAAGGTTGTTGTCATATTTTGATGATGGCGGAACTATTGGGTCCGGGACTTTTCAAGATCGCATTTGTGACTACCAACAGGAGTCCTCCGGGGTTTGGGGGCCAATGATGACAACTGGTGCAAATACCTTGATTATGTAATTTCCATTTTAATTATGCGAGTTAGTGGCCCTAGTTTGGGTCAATATGCGCATGAGGCCTGTTGCGAGCATGTTTAAGAATTGCTTCGCCAGTGGGCCAAAGTTCTTGAAATTGATTCCTGCTTTGGAAGAAGGTTGTGTCTTTTTCCATTTTCATCTAGAATTGAGACAAACAAATGATTCTGCCACTGAATGAACACCGGTTCCATGCTTGCTGTGGGTGAATGTTCCCCTTCCGAATCAGACCATTTTGCCCCAAGTTAAACAATAATGCTCCAGCTTGAAACAATGTTCCACTCAATTCATTCACTTGTATGGGTATTGATCATGAAGTCTGCTATGTGGTCACCTTCCCAGTTTCGGATTGATGTAGAAAGCAACGGTGCCACATTGGTGATTGCGGCCTTTGACCATGTTCGTGCGAACACATATTTTGCGAAAACATTTATAGAATCGGGGAGCTGGTTTGCGCGAATTGGGGTGCTGTCAACTCCGTGGAGGAACTTAGTGGAAAAAACCAAAACATATACACATTTTTCCATTTTTGCATTATCGCAATTCTTTGAAAACCTTGCAGCTCACCACATTGACATGTCGTAATTCTATTTTGGTTACAATAGAAGGTTTTGTTTTTGTGAAGAAACGTTTCCAAGGAAACAGTGAAACGTGGCAGGTCCAGGTTGGTCAGCTCACAACGTGGCAGGATGTCGTTGCGGAGGGACGACCCATGTTGATGTACTGAAACTATTTTTTGGACCGTTGCCCCCATCAACACCCGATTCAATAGATCAATTTATCACTGCTTCCTGTGAAATGTGACTTCATTTCTGCCTAATTGTGTGGACGTGCGTGTTCATTCTTACCTCTTTTGTTTGCTTCTTGGTATGGCAGGTTTCACCGAGCAGTGAAGGAACAAAATGCTGACATGTTCCTGTTTGCATCCGATGCTGACTGGACCAAACAAATTGTGTCTTCCATGCGATATGTGACGGCAAGGCGTTCCGTGTATAAATCGGCAGGTTTCATAATCACAAGTGCTATGTTGGCTATGTGGCAATGTATATAATTACAATACATCAACCACAACTTCATTGCACGTTCCGTGTCAACATTGGTGTTGAAACTGAAGGTTGGCCCGATTGCGCACCATCAATGTCAATTTGTTTCAAAACCCCAGCTTCCTTTTACCCTGATGTGGAAACTATGCATCGTCGCTTCAACACCGTGGCAGACCGGACCAAAGATGACCAAAGACATCATTAAAAAAACAACTGCCCAAACCGCCCAAACCATAAAATCTTTCCCCAAATGGCAGCGGAAGGTCGGATGTACACACTAAATTCCCTTTTGACAGCAACGTGATGTGATGCGAGGAGACTCATTGGCCTAAGCCAAACAAGCCGAAGGATGGGTATGACTCCAACTTATTGATCCACATTTTGTCATTGTAAAGACAAATCATATTTTTGAACCATACCAAGGAAACGTGGAGGGTCCGCTGGCTGTCCAGATGAATTGCGATTTGGTTTGGCGTAAAGCGTGGTGACTTGGCAACGTGTTGCCGGTCGCACCAGTGTGCAAATGTCGAACAAGTCGCTGCAAGAACCGCAACACCACAACCCACCAGGTTCTGTGTCTTTTCAATAAGTCCAACCCTTTTTTCAACGAGTCCAACCCTTAATCCAACCCATTTTAACCCTTTTACATGAGGTAAAAATCAGTATAAACGCATACTTGGCATGAGACGCTTGCACAATATCATTACGTGAGTGGCGACCCCATTTTGAGACGTTGGCACAAGGGCACCAACAGTAATCAGTCAAATCCAAAGGACATTGACACCTTTTTCGAATTTCCAAAAATTAAACATGAATCGAATGGCTTTTGGTTTGAAAAGAAACCAGTTGGCTGCGGGGGAAACGACCTGTGCTTAGGGATGCGCCCAGATGAGGCCACACGGCAGGCCCAATACCATTACCACTACCACTATCAGACACTATCACTATCAATATGAAGACGACGACCACTTCTGCCATTGCTATTGCTGCCGCTGCAATGATTTTGTTGTTAATGCTGCTGCTAATTCAAGTGCTATTGCATTTAGTGTCAGGACTAGCACAGGGTTATGGATGGAACTGTTGGCACTGGGTTGCCTTGATTAAACGTGGTTTTGTACAGCACTGTATGGTGAGTCGCTTCATTACACTGGAAGTTCCTAAGCACATCCACAGGATTCGTAAACCGGGCCATAGACCAACCAAATTTGCTGGCACCTCGTTAGCCAACCATGCAGCCAGCCATGCCTACCCATTGGTGTTAACGCCAGTGTGTCTATAATCTGCGCGTTGGCTCCGGCACTGCTAATTCGGGAAAAACTTGCGTCAGCACGAAGTTCCGTTATGTGCATCCCCACAAACACATGTCATTGAGCTGCGAACCGAGGTCATGCCCATTGTGGATAGTGCACGAAACGCACAGTGCCTGCATCGTTTTTTGGCTGTCTGTGTGCGGAAATCTTTGTGCAAAGAAGAACATCCGAACATACGATGCAAAAAGGTCAACCAATTGCACCGAAACCGCGCAACGTTGCAGCAGCAAATAGTGCGCCCCGAATTTGTTTCTGACCGTTTTGAAACACTGGTCAATCTGTTCGATTTCAGATAATCTTCGAAGGGCCTCTTGGCATGCGCCCGATGTTCATAAGCATTACGGAAATCATTTGAACCGTTCCCGCAAGCATAGAATCATACAGACATCAAAAATTACGAGTCTGAGTGGAGATAGGCAATCAATCCTTGGCAGGGGTGTAGTCCGCCAATTAAAAAAAACGTGTCAGCGTAGCATATTTCACAACGTGGCATGGCATGCGAAAACGATGCGGTTCATTGTTTACATGTGCGGTTTGAATTCTTAGCGCAGGACGGAGCTGCGTAGATTTGTATTTCCACAGTCAGCCTACGGTGTGGTAGGAGTTCTATTCGGGACTAGATATGGCTAGATCAGGGTGCTCCATCTGGGCCCCGGGATTTTTTCCCTAAATTCTCGCATAACATGTCCATGTGCATTTCGACTGCGCAGGCTCGTGCAAAAAAAAAATTGCGCCGCGGGTTCTCAAGGTCTTGGCCGGTCTTGGCCGGGGGCATTTTCATTGTAAATTTCGTATACGCGGGCTCTTGTGGAGATCTTGTAAAATTCCTCTCCAGGGGGTCTTGCGTGGTCCTGTACGGGTGCTTTCTTGTGGGAATCCTGTAAAAATTTTCTTTCGGAGGTCCCTGTGGGAATCGCTTGCAAATGCCATGTCATAGAGGTGCTTGTGTGAATGCCGTTGTGGGAGGCTCTTGGGAGGCTCTTGTACCGAAACTTGGTATAGTTTGCTCGAGCAAGCGATGTTATTAGATTTTCCCAAGCATGCTGGGATGAAAATCTTGTTCAAGGTCTTCTAACAATTTTTGTGTTTTTTTTTTTTGGTGGGACCCTCGTGACATGCAGTCACGGGCCTTTGCGTGATCTCGTCCAGTTCCGCGTGAGAAGGCCTGGAGGAGATTTCAGTGTCTCCCCAATTGGTACAAGTCATGTGAAAAGTGTTGTGGAGATCCTGTCAGAATCGTCCTCGAAGATCATGCGGGTTCCTTTACACAGATCATCATAAAAGGACGTGCGGCAGCAGTTGCGATCATGTCTAATGAACTGTCTTGTTATTGTTCCATAGTTTTGATGTTGTGTATATAGCAGATGGAGTTTCAGCCTCTACACTGTTTAGGGTTTCTTGCCGGCGTAATTGATTTTATTTTACGTTGCGAAGGGTTGTACTAGTTTGGTAAGGTACCATAGCCTAGTTTTTGCAGCAGGCCCTTGCTACCATCGTCCGGTTAAATTTATTAGTGCCGAAATGGTGCTGATTGTTCCGCGTGTAGGGACGGTTTTCACTTTTCATGAGGTTTGCCTAGCACAAATTAATCTAGATAATCGTTTTGTGGTGTAATGTGGTGTACGTTTTCTTGGTCACGAGTGCGGGTTTCCGCTTGTTCATGTCCCTCACGCGCTAGCAAGCAAAACGTTGGCTGAGGCTGGAATCGCCCGCAGCCATTTTGGCTCAAGTGCTCACGAGTCAGTCTGAGCGGCATCATCAATCTAAGGGTTTTGCAAACTAGACTGAGGATAGACATTTTATTGTCTGTCTGCTCACGGTTCTCTGCACGAATGTTTGCATTCTGGTCCCATGTGCAACCATCTACAGCTCCTTGTTTTCTGACAGCATCAAGAGGTCGACCGAAGTGGCGGAACTGATGGGTTCGGCAGTGGAGAAACTCGGGACTGGAGGAGAAGTGATGGCGACTGAAAAAGCGATCAGTGAGAAGGCAAGGGAGTCAAAAGAAAAATTCCAGAAACTGAAGTCGGACATGCAGAAGGACATCCAATCATTGGAAAAAGAGAGGAAAAGGATCCAGGAACTGAAGGCGAGTGTCTCGATCAACTGCAAGACGGTCGATGATATGACGGAGCTTCAGCGAGTCTTCTCAGGGCCTGCCGCATCCTTGGTCAATTGCGACACCATGCACCAGGTGGCAAGAGACACAAAGCAGCGCGGGCCAGCAATGACTTGGGATGACGTCTTCCATGCGTTGAAGAAAACCTATGAGGGCACAGGCGGGGCAGGAACGGTGTCATCAAAGACAGTGGCCGCACTCAGTGGGAAAACGCTCCCAGACATGTCCCACCACAAGGAAAGGGCGGAGAAGGAGATTTCTGACGCAGTTGAAAAGTTCATCTCCTCCTGCGAGTAACATCGAGAGGCGATGAAACAAGAGTACAAGAAGAAGGCAAAAAAAGGTCGCCTCATTGAAGCAAAAACTGGAAACTGTAATCAAGAGGATGGATGATGAGAAGTGCAAGCTCTTGGGAATCAATGCAAAGCTGGAGGAGAAAGACTCCCTGGGGCTG